TTTGGCCTTGTACAGCTTCCTTGTTCCTGCTCCCTCCGCCTATAGAATCTCTTGCCTTGTACAGATCTTTGGAGCGCCTTTCTATCTGCTTTATTAGATGTGGCCCGATTCATCAACCACTGAATAAAGCCAATAAGATCTTTAAAATGTACTCAGTTGAACTTTGTGTTTTAACATGTGTCACCCCTCCAACTTTCACTCCTCACTTTACTTCACTTTAAAGAGCACCACTCTGCTGAACAATTATGAAGGTAACGCATGCTCATAATACAAAATCTGGGATATGCAGAAAAGTAGGAAGAAGGAAAACAAATCAATGCCAGGGACCAGAAGTACCAGCACACCCACAGTGACCCAAGAGAGAACATGCTGTGTGCAGGCTTTGTATTCTATTCTTTCCATTACCATGATTCACATGATTGTCACTGTCTTCAGACACAGACTTGTGCTCCTGACCTCTGATTCCTTACATGAATATGTGGGAGGAAATGCACGTAACATAACAAGCAAGACCTCTCATGGCCAGTGAGAAGTGAAAAAGATTCTGTCTCTCCAAGACAAGCTCCACTGTCACAATTCTTCCCCAAAAACTCTAAGGGAGGAAGGATGGCTGGAAGAGGAGACTGTAGTGGGTTTTGAAGTCAAGAGACTCAGCTTCAGGCCATGGTTCCCCAGGACCTTCATAATCTGGACACTGGGTGAGCAGGTGGCAGCAGCATGGGGCGCTTTACAGGTGTTAACTCACTCAGCGCTGACAACAACCCAATGACGTGAAATTCACTCATTTTACAAATGAGGAGACAGAAACAGAGAGGCATGTCACCAGTAAATGGGGGATCAGTATTCTAACCCCAGAGTCTAAACTTCTTACAACTATACCATATGGCCTCCCAAGGAAATAACACAAGTGGGACAATATTAGCCAAAATACTCTCTAAATCAGGGTTTCCAACCTCAGTGCTATTGACAATTGAGACCAGATCATTCTTTGCTGTTCAGGGCTGTCCTGTGCATTGTAGGATGATTAATCAGCACCTGGCCTCTGCCACTAAATGCCAGTAGCAACCCTGCCCCAGTGTTGACAATAAAAAATGTCTCCAGATGTCTCCTGGGGGCCAAAACTGTCCCCAGTTGAGAACCGCTCCTCTAAATGGTAAAAACATTTTCTGATAAAGTATTCACTCTCCTTGTTACCATTGTCCTCTGCCTCTATAGTTTCATTAAATAGGTATTTTGTAATTCTAAAGACTGTGGGAGCCAAAGGGGTGGTGGATTGGCAGAGGACAGAGGGGAAAGGGCTAAGCAGTGTCACAGGTGGGTGGGGTTAGAGACCACAGAGCTGTGGAAAGCCCTCTGGGTCACAGATGGAAGAGCCACACACTCCTTTCTCCAGCAGAGGGGGGCTGGGCTTTTCCTTGGGGAGGAAAATGAATGATGAGAAGGAAAGGCTGGGATGCATACTGGAGGCAGGTACACCATTTACAGTTGAGAGTCAGGAAAGGACCTGGGGATATCTGAATTCGGGGTCTTCCCCTCCACCACCTCCTCCCCACCTTGAGGATAGGAGGGCCCTCAAATTCATCTTTCTCCAATTCCCAAATCCAAAACTGAATGGCCCTGTCCTAACAGACCCTAGTAGATCTTTTCATTTTTTTAACATCAGCTTATTGAGCTAGGAAATGAAATTGTAAGATAGAAAATTACAGTCTGTAACCCACATTTGCTCACCTTAACCAAAATGAGCCCTTTTTCACTTTCTTGTTCCTTCGTAGACAAAATGTCATTTCTGCCCACGAGGGGGCGCCGGGCACACTGCGCTGCCCTGCAGAGGCTGCTGGAAAACAGTCCCCAAATCTCCTTCCCTTAGTTGGACCGGAAGCAGCTCTGACAGCCACTGAGCCCCTTCTCCTTGACCTTAATTTCAAAATCTAAAAAGCTCTAAAAATGAAAAAAGTTTTTTCATAACTCTTTTAGTGGCAAAACATGCCCTGACTAATATGAGGCTATTTATTGTATTTATGTCCCCATAATTAGTATTAATATTCATGTTTCTCTGCAGAAACATCAATGCATTCGATTACAAGATGCTCTACAGCCCCCACTGGGATGTTAGGTAATATTAAGGTGCCTATATATCCGAATTCACTGGGACAGTTCCGATGTAAGCCAGCTGTTCTAGAAGGATTATTTTAGCACTCCCTTTCACTCTCAAGAGCTCTAGTTATATAATAAAGTATATGGCCACCCTATATAGTATGTATCCTATTATTTTTCTAAAGTCCACCTCTACTGCTCCATAGGCACACACTCCAACACCACACATAAAAACATAGCCAGAAGTGGGGGGGGGATGGTGACTGGCCCTCTGTTGCTGCCCAGGGGGTGCCCATCTGGGGGTCCCCAGCTCACCAGCAGCTCTTTGCTCTCCTTCTCTTCGGTGGAACGAAACACCTCATAGTCCTCCAGATCCTTCTTCAAGACCTTCAGCCTGGACTCCAGGAGCTCCTGCAGGAGGGTGAGAAGGGAGACATTGTAGGGATTCTGGAAACCCCCATATTTGCCTTCCTGGAGCCATCCAGGAGAAAGGGAAGGTCTTGCTCATTGAGGAGGAGGCCGGGTTGAAGCCATCTCTGGACGAGATGGATACTGTCTGCTTAGACTGCACAGAGTGGGACAGGGCAACTTCAGGGTGTAGCCAAAGGCTTTTGCATCTCACTTCCCCAAGACCATCTGTGAACGATTCCGGCCGAAACACAAGCCCCGCCCCGCCCCCAGCAGTCCAGAGTTCCTTGTCCTCTCCTCTGCTCTTCTCCCCATCATCAGAAATTCCTTTGTGTGGAAGAGTTGGAGCAGAGTAGGGAGCAAATAAAGACTGGGAACTGTGCGCCCAAGGCCTCCGCATACATCTCAGCTGAGGCCCCAGCAAGGAGGCAGGAAAGAAAGGAGCCAGAATCAACAGCTTTGACACAGCCCAGACGGCTCTCTCCACGCTCTACTTAACCCTGGAGCCACCTACCCCTCCCTGACCTCTTGGGAAGGTCGTCCCACTCCGGGAGAGAGCTGAGAGTGGGGGCAGCAGTCGTGTGGGTGTGCCCAGGACGCCGCTAGAGGCCGGGGTTGGACAGAACGCAAATGGCCAAATCTGTGGGGCATCGCGCAGGCGGTCCAGAATGGGGCGCAAAGGAAAACGTGAGAGGGTTGGAAGGTAATGGTGGTGTGGGGGTGACAGAGGGATCCAGTGCTCAGCAGCATAAGGTAGGAGAAAAGAACCAGGGCTGACCCGGGGCCTGCCTGCCTGTCGTCTGCACTGCGTGTTGGGGAAGGCAGGACCAAAACGGGGACCGCGGGGACCCGCAGGGGTGGGACCGGCAGGGTTAGGACCGGCGCTCACCTTGGCCTCCTGCACTGCCTCGTCTAGCGGCAATACGGCGTGCGCACGGTGCTCGCGGGCGCGGTCGCACACCACGCAAATGGCGCGTCCGTCGTCCTGGCAGTAGAGTTTGAGCGGTTCGCCGTGCTGTACACACTCGGCCTCCGCCGCCGCCTCCGGGGGCCCGCGCTCGCCCGGTGTAGCCGGGGGCAGGCTGAATCGCCGCAACAGCGCGGCCACCGCGGCTAGCTG